TGAATATCCTCATCACCACAAAAAGGATTGATTTTTCTTCCTGGGCAGTGATGGATGGGGAGACACAACCCAGGGGGGAGAGCTGCAAATTAACCTGGGTCAAAGACACCCTCAAAGCCCTTTTCCTTCCTTGCCCATGGATCCAAGAGTGTCTAAATCAGCAGCAGGTGCCATAATTAACCAACTGAAGGCTGTAATTCCTCAGTGCACTGATGGATTTGGGCACCACACAGCTGACCAGGCAGCAGTGGACGACTTAATTTGCAATCACTAATTTATTGAGGATTTAAATCTTTAAGGCAGTCTTAAAAGGCAATGGGGTCTCAACAAAACACTGAATTTTAACTACTCAAGACTGTCAAAGCAGGGGCTGAGAACAGTTATACCCCTGTCTTTAAAATCTTATTAAACTCTTTGATCACAGCCCACTGTTGCTGTTTCTAGGCTTTCCTGAACAAAAATGGTCTTGAGATGAACAAAATATTTCATTTTCAGGATGTTTCCTTTTTGACTTTTACTGAGATTGAGGCTGACAGGGAAGTATCAGTTTGAATGAAAAATGAGGCATTTCGATTTTTTTTTTTTTTTTTTTAAGAAACAAGTTTGGATTTTTTCTGTTTGTGATTGAAACAACCGAGTCGAGTCCACAGGATAAAACCTCTTTTTTTTTTTTTTTTTTGTCTGATTAAAACATCCAGCAAAATCTGGATGTTCTGACATGTTTTAAAATATTTATCAGAGGGAAGAGTGAGGGAGAACTGTGGGCTGACCAAATTCAGCACAAGGGGTGTTGAGATCAACAGAGGTCCAGTTTCTCCTTCACGCTCACCCAATTTCCCTGCCCCTGTGGAGGAGGGAATCAGGACTCAGGAATCAGCACTGCTGGCAGCAAAAAAAAAAGAGAAAAAAAAAAAAAAAAGGCAAGGAGAAGGTGTAATGGTTATAAAAACAAGTTAATCCCAGAGCACCTCTCAGACTTTGGTCACTGGGAGCAGCCTGGTGACCTCTGACAGCTCCAGTCTCTCTGCCCTGTGCTGGCTCATGGGATGCACCCCAGCTCCAGCTGGAAGTGACCCTACGTGTCCTCTACTGCCATCTTCCCACTGCTCTGGGCACTAAAGGGCAGCATCACCCCTTAACCCATTTATGAGCAGAGTTTTGGAAACAAGGCTTTGCCTCAAATCCCTCTCCATGGCTTAACTTTCCAAGCAGTGACTGCAGATGGATTAAGGGCCAGCTTGCTAATTAAGCTGCTGGTTTCTCCTCTCAGAACCCTCCAGTCCCTTCCTGAATCCCTCGGGCTGAGAACGAAGCTCAGACCAGGAGCACCAATATTTAGCACAAAGAACAATATCCTTTGTTCCTTAAAAGACAAGAAGAGTTTAAAAAAAAAAATAAAATAGTAGCTGTAGTGACTTTGCTCCTGACAAATCGGTTCCAGCCTCGCTGGGTAAGTGGATTTGCAGCCCTGAAGGGATCCTTCTACAGTCTGCAGGGTGTTTTATCTCCGTTTCAGGAATCCTGTGGCAAAATCCACTGGGAAAACTGCAGCTGAGTCAGCTGCTTGGCTCCCTCCCAGCCTGGGAACAGCATTAGCTTGTGTGCTGGTGCCTCCCAGTGCCTGGAACAGGGAGAAGCAGGAAGCTCGGGAAGTAACACTTCAGACTGCTTCAAATTAGTTGTTTCAAATCAAAATACACCTTGATATCATTTTTTTATTATTATTATTTTAAATCCAAGTAGTCGTCGATATCGCAGAGTCACAGAATGGTTTGGGTTGGGAGGGACCTCAAAGATCGTCGGGTTCCAACCCCCACCTTCCACTAGCCCAGGTTGCTCCAACCTGGCCTTGGACACTTCCAGGGAAGGGTTATGTACCTCATGCTTGGAAGGGAATCAGGAAATCCTGGGACACCTGGGTGCTGGGAATGGGGGGAGCGAGGTTTCCCCCTGCTTGGCCCAGTGCACTGACCGTGAGAGCACCGAGTGCTGCTGCTTCTCCCCTGCCCCCTCCAGCCCCAGCAGCTGCAGGACAAGGCAGTAAAAAGCTTCAGAGAGGAGAAAAATGACATTATAGCTTTGCTACACATGGGCAAGGCACGGCAGAAGTACCAGCAGTGGGACACTGTCCTTGGAAGGGTCCAAAAAGTGTGGCACTCCTGGACATGCTTTAGTGGTGGACTTGGCAGTGCTGGGGTGAGGGTTGGATTGGGTGATCTTGGAGGGCTTTTCCAACCCTAGTGAATATTCCAGTGGGAATTTTGGCTCCTGAGCCCCAGGCAGCAGCCCAGGCTGAGCACAGTGCCAGCTCTGAGGTGCCTCAGACACCAGAGGTTGCTGCTCTGTGTCACCTGAAGGTCTCTCTAATCCCAAACGAGATCTGTGTGCAGGTGAAAGCCGCGCCCCTGGGATGGGACCCACCCTCTGGAGGGATGTCCCAGCTCCTGGGGATGCTCAGAGCAGCCCTGCCCACATGCAGGGATGCCTGGTACCCCAGAATTGTGGAATTGTTGGGGTTGGAAAAGACCTTCAGGATCTCTGAGTTGTCAGCTCAGGAACACCCCCGTTAAGCGTCACATCCATGCATTTTTTGAGCAGTTCCAGGGATTGTGACTCCCACCACTCTCCTGGGCAGCCTGTCCCACTGCCTGACCACCCATTCAGTGAAAAAAACCCTGTTCCTAAAATCCAGTCTCAACCTCCCCTGGCTGAGGGGGAACCTGGTGCAATTTGAGGCCGTTTCCTCTCGTCCTGTCTCTTGTTCCCTGGGGAAGGAGATCCCCTTTGTCACCTGGACACACAATCAGGTCATTCCCAACACGTGGAAACAGCAAATCCTGATGTGACCTGCACAGGTTTATTCAGCACCTTCAGTGCAGCTTGATGGGGTTGGTTTTTTTTGCCTCATCCAGCAGGTAAATGTGAGTATTTTGGGGTCAGTCCTGCCAGGTCTGTGCCCTTCGCTCTCACCCAAGGCCACCACAGCAGGAGGAGGTGGCACCTTTACCCTGGGCATTCCAATGGGCACCGATGGAATTCAGGGCTGAACTTTCCACCCGGTTGCTCTTCAGTGTTTCCCTACAAGAGCCCCCCAAAATAAGGGATTTGGGATGGGAATGTCCTTCCCTGAGTAATGAAGCAATAAATCCCAATCCCTCCCTACTGGACTGAGCGGTGCTTTACATTTTAATGGTCACCATTTCAACTCTTTCTTACCACTCTCATATCAAATGACATTTATTCCACCAAAGGGAATTTTAAGGCCTTCTGCATTTTGCTTATTTTGTGCTTCAAGTGGGAACAGAAAGCAAAGACTTCTTTTTAGGGCTCTTTTTGTGTTTGCCATTTAATCCCTTGTAAAACGGTTCTTCCCTGGATCAGCCTTCCCAGGGCTAAAAAAAATGGATTAAGGGAATCAGAATGGTTTAGGTTGGAAGGGACCTTGAAGTTCATCTCATTCCAAACCCCTGCCATGGGCAGGGACACCTTCCACTAGACCAGTTGCTCCAGCCTGGCCTTGGACACCTCCAGGGATGGGACAGCCACAGCTTCTCTGGGCAACCTGTGCCAGTCACTTGGTCAGTCACTATATATAAAAATATATTTTAAAAAATATATATTAAAATCTATATTTAAAAAATACACGTTTTTGTGGCCAAGGTTTCCCTCCCCTCCCCAGCAGAGCCGTTTTTCCATGCAATCAGGTCACATCTGAAAGCCAGCAGGCAGCAGAAGCGGAGTTACTTTGCTTAAAATCAAAACATGTTCTTCTATCACCTGAGGAGTTGTTTCTCTTTCGGCACAGGGCCCCTCTGATCCTCCCACCTCCTTTTATCAGCATCTTCAAAAGAGGAAGGGAGTTATAATTGCTCTCTCCCCTCACCTTAGAAGAGAAGGGAGAGGCTGCTGTTCTCTATTGGCAGCTAGAGAAGAAACGTGCTTTGAGCAATCAGTTATTTACAGCACAAAAATAACATCTCGGTTTCAAAGGGCAGAGCAGCTCAGATGAACGAGGCTCCCTCCTCCCTCCCCTCTTACCTCCCACTGCTCCTCCTCTCCCCCCATTCCAGGGGCTTCTCCCTCTCTCTGAAAGCCGTGCTTTGCTTTTGCTGCAGATCCCAGAATGGGTGGGGTTGGAAGGGACCTTAAAGATCATCTCATTCCACCCCCTGCCACGAGCAGGGACACCTTCCACTAACCCAGGTTGCTCCAACCTGGCCTTGGACACTTCCAGGGATCCAGGGGCAGCCACAGCTTCTCTGGGCAACCTGTGCCAGGGCCTGCCCACCCTCCCAGGGAGGAATTTCCTTCCTAATATCCTGCCTAAACCCACTCTCCTTCACTTTGAAGGTGTCATTCCCGTGGAGAACCAGGGAGCAGAAAAATGGGAAGAAAAACCACTAATTCCACGAGCCTGGTTTCTTCCAGCTCTTTGATTTTTACTTTATTCTGATTATTCTGGTTCCTGACTCAGCAGGGCCCTCTCAGCCCTGTCCAATACAGCACCTTTCCCAAAGCACATTCCAGTGGTGGGAAAGCTGAATTTCCTGGCACATCAGCTGCTATAAAGCTGATGGATTGGTGTCTTCAGGGCTGAAAGGTGGCTGAAATTGGCCAAAAAAAGTCCACAAGCTCGAAGTAAGGACTGCCTGACCTATTTCCAATCAGAGACCAGGCTGATATTCCACATCCCACTTCCAGGAAGCTGGAAGAGGACCTATGGGACTGTGTTACACCTTATTTCACACACTTCAAAATACAAGTTTTGCAGGAAAATCCCCTGTAACAGCCTCTGAAATTAAAGAGCACGATAGTTAAAGCTATAAAAAGATTTTATCAGAGCCTGCTACAATCTCTTGCTTGGATAACAAAGTTCCATAACCCAGATTTATAAAGGTATTTATGTAGTTCAAGTGATGCCACACACAACACTAAAGGTGCCTCCAAAAATGAAATGCTGATACAATCAGTTAATTCAAAACTCTAAATGAAGACAACCATTAGAAAAAAAAAAAAAAAAAAAAGCCATTTATTAGATATATGTACATATATACATGCAAAATGATTTTATACACATTTACACAGGTTCAATTATTAATACAGTGCAAAAATGTCTAAAAAGGTACCAGCCCACCTTCTACAAACTCAACAGGTTTTTGGGAGAAATGGGGGGAAAAAAAACATGGAAAATTATCAGCTTCATAAAGTGACTAAGAATTGAAAATCTGGAAGTTATTGGAGTTTATTCTTTGCCAATTTTCTTGTGCTGAGCTGCTGGGTGAGGAAAAGAGTCTCCAACAGACTTATCTTGCACACTGACAGAGTTAAGAAGCTGCAATTCAAACCACATTAAACAGTTGAAAGTGGAACAAAAAGGGATGGATTCCTCCCTGGGGATTTGATTCCACTCAGGAACAATCCCACGTCGTGAGTCAGACCTCATGTACTCACCCTGCAAGTCATTCTTTTTTATTACACCTTAAAAAGCACTGAGATCCTTGTAAACTGTTCCATTCCTCTTGCTGTTCCAGCAGATGTTTAACTGTGTAAATACCCCGTGGATGGGGGAGCCACTCTAGGAACACCACCATTAAAAACATTAAATTGCCTCCTCCTCCTGGAATCCCATCCCAAACCTCCAGAGTGCACAGTGTTAGTGCACCCAGATTAATCCTTAATTCCTTAATAAGGAATTACACACATTACAGGGGGAGGGGGAAAAAAAAAAAAAGGTTGCAAAGGGATTAACAGCAAAGCAGAGCTTTGGTCACTAGGTGGGAAAGGTCTAAAGATCCAGACAAATCCTCCAATCAACCCACAAAGCAAAGAAATATCAGCCTAGGCAAAGGCAGAACTGAACCAACGGGTTTGGTTTGCTTTGATTTTACTGAGACATTTTTAAGGAAAAAAAAAAGAATTAAATTAAAGCTGAATTTAAATGTATCCACTTCACGTTAATCTCACGAATCATCCAGACACCTTTGCTGTAGCACTGCTGCAGAGCTGTGGGTGACATCACCTGGCCCAGGGATCTGCTCTAGGACACAGCAAACAGCTGGAATGCTTGGGAAGCATCAGGAATGTTACAGCTCCTTCCAGTCAGTGAGGAATGTAAATGCCCAGGCTGTAAATGCTCCCTGTGCCTGAAGCTGGAGCAGCCTGGCTTTAAGACAAGGAAGAGGAAAGCTCTTTGGGATTATTTAGCCAGATTTTGGCTAAAAAGGCAGGAGCAGGGAGTTGGGTGATATCACTAAAGTCCTTTTCCTGAAGTTTTGTCCGTCTGAGGTATAAAATCCTCCATCCTTTCCCCACGGGATGATTCCCCACGATAACCCAGTGGGGGTTGACACCCAGTTCCTGCTCCTAGAAAATACAATCAGATCCAGCACTCTTAAAGTGTAACATTTCCAGTATCAGATTTTTTGGGGGTGTTATTTTTTTCAGATTTTGGTTTGTTTTTTTTTAAAAAAAACCCAAACAACTTGTGATCCAAGCTCGTGGCTTAATTCCCGTGAAGTCTCCAAAAGAACCTTCCCAAGGAGGAAAACTGGGGCTGACCAGCACGAAAAATTGTAACAGGATATAAATTGTAACCCCTCACATCTGTGGGGTCACCCGGGTTCCTTCAGGACAGTGGTTGAGTTCTGGCTTCACTTTTCCACTCGAAGAGAACTGGGATAATGACAGACAAACAACTTTAATCCATTCCCTTATCCCAACTTTAATCCATTCCCTCATGGCACACAGCTTACTGGCTGGCTAAAATATCCCTCCCTCAATTCCTACCACGCCATCCCTCACATTTAGAGGCTTTTTATGATGTTAGAGTGCCACAGTAAGTGCAATGAAAAAGAAATATCTGCATTTTCCTGCTGGGAAAAGCTCTGGGATTAAAGTCCCTTGATGTCCTAGAAACTGGTCAGGCTGTAATGGGCAATCAGCTGCATCCAGAAGTGCTTCCAAAGTACAGCACCACAAATTTCTGGTCTGATCCTCCGCTTATACTCGTGTTTGAGTCCTGAGATTTCGGGAAAATTCACTGAGATACAAGGAAGTAAATTGTTTTAAGTGTTTCTGCAAAGAAACACAACTCAACTGCACGTCAATTAATCTCTTTGCAACCAGAGGTAGAGATCACGTGAGAGGAAAATAAATCTTTGGTGAACAAAAGGGGGAGGGGGAAACCAGAGAGAAAAAAAACTTCTCAAGAACAAAAACAAAAGGGAAATTTTAGGACCACAATTCCACACTGACACACCTACAGCCCTCTACATCTCCATTTGAATGCCTACAGCCCTGCTGCATCGAAATGCTGTGCATTTTTTTCTTTTAACAGACAGCCCTAAATTAATTCATCTGTGCTCTAAAATGCCCAGCTGGCACGTGGCACACCAGCACATCCAGAAGAATCCCAGCTCTGCAGTCCTGTATTCCAAAATGCACACTCAGAAACTCAGCTGAGTGTAAGGACTCCACTGACTGAAGGTGTTTTACAGAACGAAGAGAACCTGCTCTTTGGCTTTCCGCTCCTGGAAATGGGTTTTTGCTCACCAGCCACCCATTGTTTCTTTTAAAAAGGTGAAGGAGTCAATGGCCTGGCACAAGCAGGCTGGGAAGATTTATTATCCATACAGACCAAGCAAACATGGACTTGCCCTTGCACTAAAAGTGACCTTAACCAAGGAAAATAAGGCCACCTGAGCTGAGAGATCACTCACTTGGTTTATTTTATGCTGCCCAAGCACTGTTGCAATTAACCACTGAGCACACACTTAACTACAATGTGCAGTTTAGCCAGGAGATATTTATAGCCTTTATGGTTTTTAGAAGAGCCACAGCCTGTTCCTGCCCTTCAAAACCCAGACAAATCACCCTGAAACTCCCCCTAACCATTTCTCCCCACTGATTGTGAACTCACCTAATTGCAGCCAACGACCCCTTGACTTACATTTACCAAGAATCTTAACCCTCCCCAAATTCCAGAGACAAAAAAAAACCATTCCCCATCACTTTTATCTTCATTTTACTACACCTTTTGAGGAGCAGGGCAAGACACTGACCTGCCAAACTGTCCCAAAGCCAGCAAGACAAATGGCAGAACGCTGTGTGGGTGGTGTAAGTCAAGGTGTAAAAGCCTGCTGATGGTTAAGAAGCTCCCTCTGTCGATGCCACCTGACAAGATGTTACACACAGCGACACTCCTCACTCCCTGGGTGCTGGACGTGATTCCAGCATCCTACTTTATTCCAGGTGGCTGGGAACCACCCTCCTTGCAACAGCCATTGCCACAAATCCCTAAAAATCCCCCCCCCAGCTGGTTTTGGCCAGGTGAATACAACGAAGAAAAAAACGACCAGTTGTAAAACTCGAGCAGCAAAGCCCAAGTGTGTTCTCACACACCACAGTCAGGCTGCTTCTCCAGGAGCTGCCTCGCCAGGATCTGGTGGGAGGAAAGGGATGCCACTCCCATGTGGAAGGCGATTTGCCAGAGGTTCCTCAGCCCATACAGGTGGATGTTGCACAAACAGACGCAGAAGAGGAGCACGAATGTCTTCACCTTCCTGCCAGAGCTGTAGAAGAGGTACAGGTAACACTGCAAAAGGAGCAGAGGGGCAGTGTTAGGGTTGAGCCACAAAATCCCAGGGGGATTACAGAGGGAATTGCTGCCTGGGACAGGTGGGACCCACTTGCTGAGGGTGTGTGAAGAGCACAACAACCCTTCCAGGAGCAAACTGAAAGCTCCAAGTGCTGACAGAAGAGTCCCTTTTTTTAACTCAGGCAGCAACAGCTCAGCCTTTCTCACTTGGGGTCTCACTTTCCAACTGTGCTGGTGCCACAGGCACAGATCACTGCAATTTATGCACAGGCATTTTGGGAAGATGCCTGCTGTAAATCCAAAGGATGAGAGGCAACATTCCTTCATGGAGCTTCCCTGGCTCCAGGTACTGACTGAAGGAAAAAAGCAGGACAGAGCCTTCCTTTGTGAAGAGCCACTTGCATCAAGAATTTAGATCTAAATTAGCATGTTTACCTTAAAGCTCTGCCCTGAGCAGAGGGGTGAGAAAGCTGAAAGACATTGAATCGTCTCATAATAGAATAAATAACCTCTCTGCAAGTTTTGAACACCATAAATAAACAGAAGCCTGCAGGGAGTGGTCCTCAAACATCATTCAAATGCAACAGCACAAGGGAATGGACACACTGTAAACATTAAGTTATTCCCAGTAATAATCCAACTACTGCAGCTTCCTGGGATGGCAGGCTAAAAAATTCAGATTTTCCAACAAGATATCACCCTTAAGTTAAAGGTTGTGCAGTGCTGTTTTAGGAACTCAAGGAATTTTTCAAGAAAAATTGGAGCACGCTGTTATTTTCCTCAAACACTGCTGGCACAAATAACTCATTAGGGAAAAGAGAAGTCTGAGGAAGTCAAGCCCTGCATTTGCCACCAGAATTGATTGTGATTGTCACTGTAAATTAAAACATTTTCAATAATGTTGTGAAGATTTGCTTAGGCCTTTCAAGGTGCTACAAAAGCCCATAACTAAGTCTGGCCCTGACAGAAAGACATTCAGCCCTCTGGGAAAGAACCTTCTTTGGGAGAGCATTTGTTTATCCCACTCAACTGCAATTTGCCAAGGGTCAAACTGTGCCTTTAATGGTATTTATGCCACTTTAGCTGTCATTTTGTGCCACATTTAACTGAGGAATGCCTCAGTGGAACCCTTCAGGTAGGATGTTAAAAACCTCTGCTTAGCTGAAAATCACCCTGTCTTGTGCATTGGAATATGAAAATAACCAGCAAGAATCTTACTGACAGTGAACATACCTGAAAAACACAGGCTAGAAAAGGTACAAAAAAAGCTATCACATTCCCAATTCCTTCGTGGTCCTCCTGTTGGGATTAGAAGAAGTGACAAACAACGACGTCAGGCACAGTTTTTAGCAAGTGCTGCTTGATATTTGAGAACACTATAAAAATAGTCAAGTACCTCTCATCTTAGTTTATGCTGATTGACTGTCACAGTGTTAAACACCAAGATCAATATCATTGTAAAAAAAAAAAAGACACCCAGAACTTCTGTGACAGTTCCTGCTAAATAAAACTGTGTCAGCACACAGCCAGGACACTTTTGCTTTCAAAATGTTGTTTGCAGTTTCCTGCTCGTTTACAAAAACAACAAAAAAAATTACAGGGAAGGATCTAAAATAAAATATAAGTACAGGAGAGGGGAAAAAAAATAATAAATCCAGCCAGGCTGGCAAGAGGAAAATGTTTCTACAGATTTTAAGCAGAGTAAAAGGCTTAAAATATAAATAAAAATAAAACTGAATACAGCCAGCAGAACTGCCCCCCTCCACATGGAATTCTCTGCCTTTGGCCCATTCCCAGGGTTCAGTGCCATCCAGAGGTACCTGAAATGAATACTCTGCCAGGTGGACTCCTCGGATGAGGTTCAGAGCCCCACACATGATGTTCAGGACCAGTGACAGGATCCCCAGGGGGGTCACAGGCTGCATTCTGTAAGAAGGGACTTTAAAAAAAAACAAAAAAAAGAAAACCAGACATTAGCGAGAATTTGCACAATTGCTCTGAGTCTTTTAACAGAAAACAACCCAAATCAGCTTCTGTGGGTTTGAAACATTTTCAAAACCTTCCGTGCTCGCTCCAGAGGAGACTAATTATGAACAGAAAAAACACTTTTTGCTGTTGCATTACACTGTTCTGTTCTTCAGACACCCAGAAATCAGCAAGAGCTCTGGAGTATTTTTTAAACAGATTGAGAGTAGAATTCTTCTTGACCCATCTGGCATCAGTGTCTTGCATCACGGTGCACAGAGGTGTTTTTCAAGTGTTTATTACAGCAGGTTAGCACGTTTAGCACTCCTCACAGGCCAGCAGAAAAGCCTTTCAGCACCCAACGGTTTGGGAAAGGGGCTTGGATTCCTGACACCCCTAACAGCAAGACAGCAAACTCATCTCTTCCTTAAGCAGTAATTCTCTATTTCTTCCCGAGGGCTCAGGCTGCCCACATTCCACAGGTAGGGAATTACCTGCCTCCTTCCTTTCTCACCTTCTCCACTAGTGCTTAACACCCACACTCCCTGACACCGTTTCTGCAGGATAATCTCGTTGATAAGACACCTAATTAAGGTCAAAGCAATTACCAGGAGTGAGTGTTTTAATTTGGGAATCTGCTGCCTCTAATCCGGGGCTGTCCCAAAACCCGCCTCCGCTTTTCCCTCGCTCGCCCATCAACAGATTCCACACCTGGACACTCACCCAGGTGTCATCCCTGCCTTTGGGTCACCACAAGTAGGACACTGCCAGCTTAATAAAAAAAAAAAAAAAGGGGGAATTTGCAGCTCAGGCACCAAATTCAAACCCTCTCCTGCACCACAAGACACAGGAGGGAATGAATCGAGACCCCAGGAAGCCTCCCTGGCTCTCAGGATCTCCTCCCTCCTGTCCAGGTGCATCCAGATCCTGACAGTTAAACTCTGGGCTTCATTTCAGTGTCTTCTCCTTCGAGAGGTTTGGAGGGATGGATGTAAAAAAAAAAATCTGGTGCCAAATTAACTAAGGGATGTAAAGCATCTTCTCTAAGGGTCTCTAATTAATTTGTCTGGCACACACTCACACATCCATAATTTCAGCTCCAAAGGAACTGCATTAATTCCATTGGATATGTGTCACTTTTTGGAGTATTACTGTGTATTATAGTCAGAGTGGTATAATTCTGTCATCAAAGGCTATTTGGCTTTTTTTTTTTTTTGCAGACAGTGACATTTAAGGCCCAAACAGTGCCCTGAACAGAAGCGGTGGCAGCATCTTTGTTCACTCACTGACCCCAGAACTCAGTTCCCTGCTATTTTTGATCAATTAAATCATGTTACAGCTCTCTCTCTCACACAGGAATTTCCAAATAAAGACTCTTCCTTTTCCTCAGATTCTAAGATTTACTTCAGAGGCACAAAATGTCTCTCAAACAAATTAAAAATTTCCAGCACAATTTGTCATTCATTGAACAGGATCCTGCAAACTACACCTGTCAGGAGTTCCCAGTCCCCAGGGAAGAACAATGCAGGGCTCCACATATTCCTTCTGCAGCATGGAATATTATGTAAAAGTTACAGTTTCCTTAGTCCAGGAGGATAAAAAGAAATGCTGTCACAGATGCAGGGGAGATTAAAATATCAGGGCTCAGAGTTTGGCCTCTGTGAGAACTGATCTCGAAATCGTGGAGCTTTATTTCTGCCATTCAGTTCTGAGGTTTAATTCACAAACTGAACCTGCACAGAAAAGTGAGATGTTTCCTGCTAAGGGAAAAAATTATCACACTTCCTTGTGTGAATTCAGTCATAATTTGAAGAGAATTTCCTGTTAGGATGGCTTATTAAATTAAATAAGTGAACAGGAGACTACAAGCACTTAATCCAAGACAGCACAATTTTGCACAAGCACAAATAAATTTTAACTGGGTTCCAAACTGATTTGATTCTTCAAGTTGTGCATTTCAGAGCACCAGACCCACACAGAAACATTTGGGAACTGTGGGTTACGCAGCACCCCCAGGCAAAATGCACCTGCAGGTCTGAACATGCCCAGAACAGCTCTGTGAAAACACCCTCACAACAAGGAAGAAATGGAAACCTCTGCCCATAAAAGATTTTGTGAGCAGAGGCCTCTGCCCGTTTAACACCAACACTCTTGTGCTGCCTCCTCGAGGCTCAGCACAAGGGTCTGGCACTGAGTCACTCACTCAAAGCTCTGGATAAGGAGCATCAGGAGTGAGAAATGAAATCAGACAGATTTAGAATAAAATAGAAGCACAGAAAGACAAGAGAGGTGAGACAGCTGCAAAAAACACCTCTCAAAGGACTCTGAAGGACTCCCTACAGAAGATTAAGAACAGTCATCAGGAGGAGCTGCGTAATTTCCCAGCATGTTTACTGGACAAACTGCACAAGTTGTTCTGCTTCCCAGAGCCAGTTCTGAGGAGAAAACTCTTCCCCTCTTCAGAGGAAGCTGCTGAGAGCTCTCATTTCTGCTGTGCCCATGTCCTGCAGAGCCCCACCAGCCGTGCCCACACCACGGCACGAGGGGAGGCCTCGCAGCAGAGCTGGGCCTGGCGGGGTGGGCATCAGTGGAAGGGCTTTTCCAGCAGGAGCTGGGCTGGGTTTGGTGAACACAGGAAAGAACAGAAGAATGGAAATCAAAGAGAAGGAAAAGCTCTTGTTCCCATAAATAATAAGGAGGGCAAAACTGCCCTGACTTCTCCATCCCTTCTCACACTACACTGAAGAGCCAGGGGATGAGCTCACGTGGCTCCAAAGAATCCAGGAGCCAGCTACAGCCATGTGAGGAGAGGGGTGTTGTGATCATCCATGGATTGATCTATCTGCTCTAGGGAATCCATGTTCTGATCTATCTACACTAGGGAATGCATGGATTGATCTATCTCCAGTAGGGAATGCATGGATTGACCTATCTGCTCTAGGGAATGCATGGATTGATCTGTCTGCACTAGGGAATGCATGGATTGATCTATCTGCACTAGGGAATGCATGGATTGATCTATCTACACTAGGGAATGCATGGATTGATCTATCTGCACTGGGGAAGGCATGGATTGATCTATCTGCTCTGGGGAATGCATGGATTGATCTATCTGCACTGGGGAATGCATGGATTGATCTATCTGCAGTAGGGAATGCATGGATTGATCTATCTGCACTAGAAAATGCAGACACAATGACATCCTGCTCACCTGCAACCACAGCACTTCGAGAACAGCAGGGCCATCACATAAATAACATCAATTTGGGAACAAACACTGTGCACTCAGCTAAACTTGGAGCAGCAAAGCAGGGATTCAGCTGGTAGGGAATGCTGAGAGGGGAGAGCCATAAGCCAGGAAAGCCGACTCCAGAGGAGGGAAACAGATGATCACAAACATGATCCTTAAAATAAAGGCAGAACAATCTGTGAGAGTATTTGGGTTAGAGCAGAGAGGAGAGCCAGAAATAAAAAGCCAGATGGAAATGCAATTAGGAATAGGGGGGGGAACTGAAAATGTATTTCTGATCTGTGGGCACAGACTGGATTGCAAATATTTACTGGCACTGAAGCTGCTCAAAAGGGAAAAAAAACAGTGCAAAGAATTTCTACACCCTGTCACATCATGAAAAGATTTAACCTTCAAGCACAGCTCTGAGGAGCACTCACAAACCTGACTGGCAAATACAGGCCTTTCAATTCTATTTTGAATTCCTCCTGGCCACTGCCCTGCTATATTTTAATTTAAAATACCTATGTCAAATTAGATTCCAGCTCATCCATCACAAAGAATAAGATTGAGCAAGTGGAACTTAATTTTATTAGTGTTTCATAAGCCAAGAATGACAAAAAGAAAAAAAAGAGGAGTAAACACAAGCTCATGGCACTCCAGCTGCATCTAAACCACCATGTTAATAGGATTAAAACAGGGAAGGGTTTAGTGGTGGACTTGGCAGTGTTTGGTTTCCTGTTGGACTCGATGATCTTAAGGGGTTTTTTCCAACCTAAATGGTTCTGTGATTTCATTTGTGGAGGAGGGAGGCAGGATTCTGACCATGCAAATGAAACACGAGTAAGATGAACCATTTTTATCATGAAAAGTAGAGGCTGGAACTTTAACAGCAGGTTTTGGTACAGGAAAGTCTCTTGTCAAGGCTCTGTGTGTTGTTTTTACAGATACACAAGTCCTCTTTCAGAATTTTAGGCAAATGCACTAAATTGTGAAGAATAAAATCAAAGGGGAGAACAACTCAAGGCAGTCTGGGAACAAGAGTTTTACCCTCAGCTCATGTTCTCCTCATCTTTTCTTGCCTCAAGACTGAAGAAACTCATTCAGACTATAATTATGTTCCTTCTCTTATGAGTTTGCACGAGCAATGAATCCTTTGAGCTCCTCCTGCCACAGAAATTTGAACAAACAAGGATTTTAGAAGCAGGAGAATTTAACGTGGCAAATACCAAGCCCAGTTAGAAAAAACTTTCCTTACAGAAAAGCTGATCCAAGGCTGGAAAAAGACACCACCAGAAGGTCCTTAAAGGCACTGATTACCTTTACCTGCCGGGATGTGAATTCCAAATGTTGTTTCCTATGATAGAAAAGTCCTTTTTTTTTTTTTTGCTTCACACCCCCGATATAAACACGTGTTTCTCAGTGCAAAAAGGAACCTGCTGCGTGCCATCTGCAGGGTGAGAGGTCAGGAAATCTGCTGTCACCTCGGGTAGTAGCAACTTACCAACCTCCACATGGACTCCTGAGGGCCCACCATTGGCCACCCCGTTCAGCAGCTCCGTGTCCTCCAGTTCCAGCTGAACTGGGGGCTGGAATTTCAGCTCCTCCTCCACCTTCTCCCAGTTGGCCTTGGCTCGAGAGCCACGGGTGCTGTTGAACTGGAATTTCACCTTCTGAATGGTGTTATCTGCAACAAGCAGAGAGAGCTGCTTCAGTCAGATCCGCAAAGGTGAACCGCTTAATTATTAACCCTTAATATTACTGAACCCCAATTAGGGAAATTCTGAATCATGTCAAGGCGGTCTTTTTTAATTGTTTTTAATTCCTTTGTTTCTTATTAGTTTCAGGTATAAAATTCCTCTGCTGGTTAGGGGAAAAAGTAATTCTTCAATCCCTCTCCTTCCTCTCTCACCCTTTCAATTTACCACCATTTGCCTGCAAATCCCTTTCCACAGTCATGGCTGCAGGTTTGACAGGAGCTGTGCTGAGCCTAAGCAGGGAATTTCTCCAAGTACTCAGCGTGGGTGGGGCTATTTCCTAATTAATTGTGGAAAGATATGGGCAAATTCAAGCTATTTCAAATGCTCAGGGGAACAAAATGCAGAAACATTTATCCTGTAAGTAAAATCCACACCAAATATTGCACAGGTTGCCCACAGCTGCTACTGGATATGATATAAATGTAATACTTATAAATGTGATTCTATATTATTTATATATTATGTATTATTTACATGTATTATTATATATTATTTATATTTATGTATTTATTTCTATGATATTTATGTACTTATTTCTCTTACATTTATGTGTTTATTTCTATTATTTACATACAGTTTAAATATTCTATATAAATATATAATATGTATGTATTATTTATATCTATGTATTTATTAATTAACTACATATTCCTTCTATTCCAAAACACAGCTTATGAAACATTCTTTAGGGAAAAATCCTGCATTTTACCAAGTCAGCCTGCTGAGAAGGCAAGAATATCTACATTATTCTATATGTACAACATAGAATAATTATAAGTAATATTAATAATTAAAATAATAATGATAATTATAATTATGATTATGATTATGATGAAGATAATAATAATAATATCTGCAACTACCAGACAAAAGGCTGAGATCTCAGGCACCAAGTGCTTCTTAGATCCAAACACAGGGAAGAAGATGATTAAATAAATAAATCAGTAACCACTCAGCAATATTAGGTAAACTCAGTAATAAAGTATAATAGTAAAAATGGAAAAAAAAGTGTTTTTTCTTTAAAGAAAAGACCCTCATGCAATTAAAAGAGGGTAGAAATTCCCCAATTCCTACTCCAGTTAAAAAAAAAAAGGAATAATGTGGATCTCAACCTAAAATTACATCATGGCTGTAACTTGCCCTGCAGGGAATCCACCCAAAATCCAAGCAGGCAACTGTTTAATAAGCTTTCCTCGTGGATTTCTCAATCTTTTTAAGCATGAGCTTAAACAAATAAAAAAAAATCGCTGCAATCTGGACAGAAGGGTGCAAACCCACTGCAGGATTTCATCCTCTCCCAGAGCAGCTCCTCACTGCAAGGGAACTGTGTGTGAGGTTCAGCAGAGCAGCTCCTCCTTGGCAAGAAAACAATTTCTATCAGGTTAAAAAAGAAACTCTGGAGCGTTATGAGGTTCGAAGTCAGGCCAGAAATAAAGCTGCCCACAATAATCTGTTCTGTCTCCCTTTTTTTAACCCCTGTTCTCATCTGTCTCCACTCCTCAGATTTTTTAATTACGTTAGGAAGTGTCTGAGATATCAATTTCTTGTTCTCTACTCATTCATTAATCACCCCAGGACTGTGTCCATAACAGATGAACTCTCTGCCACTGCACACCCAGTAATCCAGTAGTTTGAGGCATCAAGATCTTCCCCCCTCCTTGCAATCACAAGCTAAACCTCATTTCTTAAATGAGGTCATTTCTTCATTTCTTCCTTCTTAACTTCTTGGATAAATTTCTCCTCCTAAACTCAGTCATTCCAAGGCACCGGGAAGAAGAAGCAGAATTCCATGATGATCCAACCTCTAACAGTGACAAGCACTGCCCACTGAGCAGAAAATGAAAACAGGCAAAATACATCTAAAAATAGCAATACACATAAATATGTGCATGCATAAAGTGACCGTGTGCTGATATATCATAAAATAAATACTGTATTTATATATATTTGTACAGACCATTTCTATAAATATAATATATAAAATATGAAGTATAACATATAAGCGTGTCACATATATTTATAGAGAAGTCTATAAATATATATATTCACTAAACTGAGCAGGAGCTTTGTGGCCCTGGTGCTGAGAAACAAGATTTCCAAACACACCCACAGGCAAAGGCACGCCCAGGTTCACTTTCACAACCAGCCTCTGGCCAGGAGACATTATTTAACATCATAAAAGTAGTAATTTTCACTATTAGAGACCGAAGTTACAAACCAAACTCAATGAAGGCGTAGGGCCTGGAAGCCAAATTGATGCTGGTTGTGTCGTAGGAAGCAGTGAATTCCCAGCGAAGCTCCTCCAGGAAGCAGAAGGCCATGATGGTGGAGTAGCTGCTGGAACAGATTGCCAGGCAGGCAACATCCCCAGAGGAGAGGAAGCTGGAATAGAGGGGGAAAAAAACCAGTAATCAACATAAAAAGGTAAAAGTCATGCAGAACAGGAGGATTAAACTGTGCTTTCTGTCAGCACGGAGCGTACAGACCTAGCTGAAGGAGCAGACTGCAAAAAAATGTGCATTTTTTTGTTGTTGTTGTCATAGCCCTGCAGCCCCTAAAGATTTCTTTACTCTTAGACAATTATTTATTCCTAACTCGCCCAGGACACCTGAGCACACTGAGTATCACAACACAGACTTTAATAAATTGGTACATCAGCCCAAATCGAGGACATTTTCTCCCAGGGTGGCTTTAAATCACATCAGTGAGGAACAAGGTGGCCAGAAAACCAACTTTGAAAGAACCAGCACAAGAAAAATTCTACTCCAAAAGGGGCTCCTCTAACACTGAAGCCATATTTAAGTTGAAGTTTCCCAAATGTATGTTGAAGTTTCCCATATTTAGTTGAAGTTTCCCATATTTAGTTGAAATTTCCTATATTTAGTTAGTTTCCCAAATATATGTGGAAGTTTCCCATATTTATGTCAAAGTTTCCCATATTTATGTCAAAGATTCCCACATTTGTGTTGAAGTTTCCCATCCTTATATTGAAGTTTCCCATATTTATATTGAACTTTCCCATGTTTATACTGAATTTCCCACTCAGACATGGGCCCCATTCCTTCCAGGAACCCTCTCAGGGAGATCTCTCACAGCTCAGCCCTTTTTTAGCAGGAATTCAGTCACACACCTCAGCTTTGAAGCTGAAACATTTCTCTCTCTGGATTTTCCCTCTCCTATTATCCATATATTTCATCCCAGCTTCATTTCCTTCCTGTGCTTTCTATTTTACCCCAGTTTTATTCAATAGGATGCCACGTTAAAGAAGCAGAAATCCAGGATGCTCCAAGTGGTAACAGCAACAAGCACTGCCCAATATAAATTTCTATGTATATGTTAATTATATATAAAATATATAAAATTTTAAATTAAATATATTTATAAGAATACATAAAATTTTTGGAAGATAATATATCTGCATACATAAGATTTATATATTAATATAAGTATATGTATGAAAATATATAAATATATAAATAGATGTTTGTATGAAATATATAAAATATGCATTTACATATAAAATATATAGAATTTTAAAATAATATATATTTACAATATATAAAATTTTTATAAAATAATATAAAATATATCTGTATACATAGCATTTACATATTAATATATGTATGAAAATATACAAATATATAAATAGATGTTTGTATAAAATATATAAAATATACATTTACATATAAAATATATAAAATTTTAAAATATTATATATTTATAAGAATATATAATTTTTGTAAAATATTAATATATTGGTATATCTGACATTTACATATTAATATATATAAGAAAATATATATATTTGTATAAAAGATATAAAATATAGTTATAAGAATATATGAAGTTTTTATAAAATAATATAAATATATTAGTATATATACATTTACATATTAATATATGTATGAAAATATAAATATATATTTGTATAAAATATATAAAACAGACATGTACATATTAAATACATAAAACTTTAAAATAATATAAACATATTTATAAGAATATATTTTTATAAAATAATATTAATGTATTTGTATACGTAACATTTACATATTAATATATGTATATGTATGAAAATATATGAATAGATAATCATATAAAATATATAAAATATATATTTAGTGGCCATATGCTCACTAAATTCAGCAGGAGCTGAGTGCAAAAGGTTGGAATCAGGCCCTACAAACTATACCCAAAATTTTACTCATTCCCAAGATAATTATTTCAAAAATAACCCCCCCTAAAAAAATAAATAACCTCAACCAGGGACTTACTGGATGCTCAGGTTCCGTCCCTTCGCTGTGCCTCGACTTGGGTACCGTGCCAGGCCTGAGGATAAAGCCTTTAATCTCCTCCTGCATTCCAGGAAGTCCTGGTTGAAATGGAAATCCGTGGAGGCCGACAGGGGAAGCCCATCCCTCACCCTCACCACACAGGCAAAGAAGATCAGGGACATCCTCCACGGGAGTATTCATGAGGACAACCTGCAAATGGAACGGGGGTTCAGCGAGGTGAGATTATTTCCAAACCCAAAATTCCAGCCGGGAATACGTCAGGGAAAGGGGTTTGTTCACCACTCTTCAGCCACTGCTCGTGGCTGTGTCCATTTTTGGCCTCTCTCAGACTAAAAAGGTGAGGCAGGGGATTTGACAGGGGAATTATCTACCTGGAAAGCACCCCCTGTTTTCCCTGCTTTGCTTTATTTAGGCATCAGAAACGCTGAGTAAAGTTCTTTTTTTTTCTTTTGCACCTCTGAACTTGCAAACAGCCGCAGGAGTGTTGCAGTTCCCTGATTTTCTACCGCAACACACAAATCCAAAAATAAATTTTAGGCTACGGCCTGCCAGGCTGTTTTTAGACTCACCTAGGGCTAAATATAGAATAAAAGCTGCCCTCTCTCTTGTCTTCTTGCTCTTGGACAGGTCACAAACTCCCATGGAAAGTTATTAATGGGATTTACCTGGTACATTCAGAACATGCAGAGATCTGTCCTTCAGACATACCATGAGGATCCAGAGGACTAACACAGCAGCTCACATAATGTCTGAAAGAGAACCATAAAGAACGTTAAAAAAACCTGATTAATAACCTATATTTACATGCATATTTACTCTAAGAACTCCCCTGCAGTGGGTAAATATATCCTAGAAAGCATCTTGCCTAAGGGAAAAACAAACAACTCATTTTCTAATTAATTAATATATTAATTTCTACACACGTCCAAAGACACTATGAAATGGCATGCAAGATGTTTATGATGTCCCAATCATAATTTTTTAAAATTTAGCCCAGTAACTCTAAGATCAGCAGTAGATTTTAAGGGATTATCAGAAAAAAGTCAAGGAAAAAAAGGAAAACTAAAGGAATTGACTTGGCTTCAGGCAAACTACATAAATAAAGCATTAGGGAAATAAAAAGAAAGAAATAAAACCACCCTGTGAACTCAAACCTCAGATTTGTTTTAACCAGCCCTGTATCACACAGTTCATTAGGATGCTCAAAGTCTCTTTGAAATGAGTCTCATCAGGACGTGTTTTCCTCGTCTAAGAAACCCAGGGAGCAAAACCCCTCCTAGTTCAGGCATCAGAAACTCTTTGAGCTGCTCTAATTTCTAATAAAGGTTGAGTTCCTGCCACCAGCAGCACTAAAAGGGTCTCATTTCTGCTCTCCATGGGAATCATTTCCACACAACTTGTGGCAACAATCCCTCTGTCCAAGGTGGCAGCAATTTGCCAGCAGGTTAAAGCAACTGCAATTGTCAGAACACGTGACTTGTTTCCTTAGAAAAGCAAATTAAAAGCACAGAAGATCTCAGACATCTCTTGAGAAGCGCTGTTTTGAATTTTTAAAAATGGAAATTAAAGAATTGGATGTTATTTTTTTGTCCGCTATCCCCTCTCAGAGTTCTTCTCCAGCTGAGTAAAATCAAACCAAGCTCACAAACATCATGTCAACACCCAGCAAACAGAATTTCAACGACAATCAAGATTGTTCTAAGTCAGCTTGAAACATCACATTGTTCTTCAACGTGATGTGGTAGCAGCCATGAAAGAAGCAGTGCAGAAAATTAACATAAAAGTGAAACAAAAACAAAAAAATACACCTGCTAACTCAGAAATATTAACTTTAACACAGCTATCTTCTAAGCACAGTTGCTCAGAGCAGCACAGCTTAATGGTGAAAAGCTGGTAACACTGATGAAGTTTAACTCCAAAACAACTCCAAAAGAGGCAAAAGATGGCCAGGAAAACAAAAAACAAAGCACCAAGCTTAGAAGAATCAAATACATTTTCTATAATCCAGCCTACGAAATTATTCAGCTCCCTTTGACACCTAGAGTTTAAAATTATATATATATATATATATATATTCATCACTAAGGATAACATCAAGTGCACATATAGAGTGGTACAGCTTCCCAAGCCACACAAACCTTCCTGCTGCAGGGCACAAGGCTGCCCATCAGCTGCCCATCAGAGGGATCCCCTGCCCTCCTGGGGAAGATCTGCTGTGGGTGCCCACCAGGCAAATTCCAAATTAACTGCCAGACTTCACTGCAGAAACGAATCCACACTCCCTCCTCAGACCCAGGAGGCTCTGGGTTTTCCTTTTGCTCTGTCACAAGCCTCTTGTTACTTGCACAGAGTTTGTGGCAGTCACTAATGTCCCCTCCCTGGGAGTTTTAACTACCTGCAAGCCTCTTTTGCCACGTCACCCACCCGTGACAAACTGTCACAACCCACTGACTGGTCAAGGTGACTGGATGCTGTTCCTATTCCACATCCACTGCCCTTTCCCCCTCCAGGCTCCCTCTGTTTGCTCAGGATCGGGAGCCCAAAGATCTGCAACCACCTGTACGTGGCAGGTCTTTGACCTTGGCTCCCGAACTTGGGCAAAGTACTCGTGTCTGCGGGCTGAGCAGATTATCAAATTACTCACAATTAATAACATCACACCAAGGTCAGACCACCCATTCTACTGGCACGAAGCAGCCAGAACACTGAGATGCATTTTAAGCAACTGCTTCAGGAGAACAAGTTGTAATTTCTGACTGAAGCAAATAAAGTTGTTTTTTTTTCACTGTTTAAAGCATCCATCCATCCAACAACACTTTAAAATAAAACTGTTAATGCAGGGCTCAAACAGCACGTATTTACCACTATCAGAACAAACAATTCTTTAGTGTATTTCCATAGCAAGTTACCTGAAGCACAATTCCCTCCTTCCCCTCACTTCCTAAGCAGCAGACAACTCTCTCCAGCGTCTGCCTGGGGATTATCAAGGCAGCCTTAATCAGACCCCTTGCACTCTACTCCAGTGTTACACAACTCCTCGGGGTAAGGAGATTACACCCAATTCACCAGGGCCACACTTCCCCACACGCTCCACAAACTCCTGCTTGATTGCCTGTACTTAGGAAACAATCTACTCAAAAGGCTCTGAGAGCAAATGCAAACCAGTGCTCGGTTCATGAGAGGAATGATGTTAAAAATACAGCTCTTACAGAAATTATCCTATCTCACCACCAAAAGCAGAAAGTTTCCTTCCAACACAAATAAGACACGTCTTGTTACCAGGATTTCTCTCAAGTATTTGACTTCCCTCCCTGTTCAGAGCCACAACTCCCTTCTCTCTGCATCCAACCTTCAAACACAACAACGCCCAACTATTTTTTCCCAGTCCTGACCTTCCTGCTGAAGGAAGAGCAGAAAGCTTTAGTGGATGTTTCCATGGTCCTGAAGCAGCCTGTGAAGTTTTTTGGACGTGTGACAGCTTCATGATGGTAACTACTGCACTAAAGCATCTTTCCTCAGGCAGGCAATCTCCAGAGGGAGTCATGGACAGCCACAGGTGGGATGCTGGAGTATGAGAGGGATTCAGGCTGACTCAATCAAACACAAAACATCCAACGGAGCTGCAGCTCAAGGGTTGGTTTCAGTCCAAAGGAAAGAAAACCACTGGGATGTGGTTCATGAGGGAGAGTTACTCCATCTCTGCGGGATCACAAGGTGGATTTTACCCTCTTCTCACATCTATAAACCAGCAAATCCAAACCACTGTTAAATCCTCATCTTCTAAGACTGCAGGGGCTGTATCCACCTGCTCCATCCCAGCTTCTCCCCCTCCATGCCCCCAGCAGTGCTGACCAGCTACATCACAGACCTACAGCACCAAGAGCCACTCTCCAGACCGAGCAGTGAATTAAAGCAGCTGGAAAGCACGATGTTATCTCAAATTTTAAAACGGGATTTGTGCACATCCAGAGCTTACAGGCTCCTATAAATCCTACAGGCTTTATCCTTATCCCCAAAGGGAAGCATGTAGAAAACCTTTACCATCCCAAATCTCCTGTCTACACAAACTCCTGTGAATTATCAGGAATGAAACATGTTGTGCAAACCTCAAACCCCAGAATTCCATCAATCCCACTGCCCCAGTGGACAGGCCTCCAAACCATACCACAACAACTCTGTGACGCTCTGAAGCTTTGCCTCGCCTTAATCTGTCAGGAACACCTATTCCCTAACTTATTCCCAAAAACACACCCACCCCGCCCAGCTGGAGCTTCCCAAAGCTCACCAGCTCATCCCTGTACCCTCACCAGTCCATACAGCTAAGGACCCGTCCCACATCCATCCTGCTCCACTCACATCACACATAATTACACTCTACTCATGCCTCTTCTCCCCCCACGTTAAGCATCCTAAAATTCCCAGAAGAATCCCTTTCCCACACTGTCATAAAACTAGTTTGTTGAAAGCCAACACTCACATCCACCCCCTCAATCAGGACTGACAAGTCCCTCGAGCATCCCAGACGTCCCCAAATCCTACTCCCATCCCACAGGTCCCAAACCCTCACGTTATCCCAGCTCACCTCCAGCGATCCCCAGCCCAACCCAAACCCCGCTGAGAGTCCCGAACCCTCCTCCTCCACTCCTCAAGCACCCCAAGGAACCCCCACATCCAACATCCACACCAAAGGATACCAATCCCAACACGAACATCTCTCTGCTCACCCCCACCCCATCCCTACATCCCGTAACATCTCTCATCGCCTTCCAGACCCCTCCAAGCCCCCCAAACCTCCCTTCCCCGCTGGAGGACGCCCCAAAAAACCCCTTTCTATCACCCCAGTTCGCTCCCCCCACGCCCTCCCAGCCCCGCGCACGGCCCGGACCGCCCCATCCCCGTGGGGACGGAGGAGGAGGAGGAGAAGGAGGACAAGGAGGAGGACGAGGAGGGTCGGTGCCCCCCGGACACTCCGCACTCACCGTCCCCGCCCGTCCCGCGGCCTCTCGGGCCTCCAGGTCCGCCAGAGCCCCGGCCCCGCCCGCTGCCGCCATGGAGAGAGCGCGGGGACAGCCGGGACGGGAGGAGGGACCGGGACGGGAGAGCGGGGGATGGGGAATGGGGAGGGAGATGGAGAGGGGAATAGGGATGGGGAATGGGGATGGAGAGGGGAATAGGGATGGGATGGGGGAATGGAGAGGGGAATAGGGATGGGATGCGGGAATGGAGAGGGGAATAGGGATGGGGTGCGGGAATGGGGTAGGGGGATGGAGATAGGGGTGGGGATGGGGTGTGGAATGGAATGGGGTGTTGGGGATGGAGATCGGGATGAGATGTGGGAATGGGGCGTGGGAATGGAGATGGAGGTCAGGATGGGGTGTGGGGATGAGGGTGGGAATAGGGGTGGGGTGCGAGGATGGAAATGGGAATAGGGATGGGGTGCGAGGATGGAGATGGGGGTCAGGATGGGGTGTGGGAATGGGGGATGGGGATGGAGATGGGGTGCGGGAATGGGGTGCAGGGATAGGGGATGAGGATGGGGATGGGGTTCAGGGATAGGGGATGGGGATGGGGTGCAGGGATATGGGTTGGGGGTGGGATTCAGGGATAGAGGATGGGGATGGGGTGTGGGGATGGGATTCAGGGATAGGGGATGGGGATGGGGTGTGGGGATGGGATTCAGGGATAGGGGATGGGGATGGGGTGCAGGGATATGGGATGGGGGTGGGATTCAGGGATAGAGGATGGGGATGGCGTGCAGGGATGTGGATGAGGGTGGGATTCAGGGATAGGGGATGGGGATGGGGTGTGGGGATGGGGGTGGGATTCAGGGATAGGGGATGGGGTGTAGGAATGGGGATGGGGATGTAGATGGGGATGGGATTCAGGGGTAGGGGATGGGGATGGGGTGTAGGAATGGGGATGGGGATGCAGATGGGGATGGGATTGGGGTGTAAGGATGAGGCTGGGGATAGGGATGGGGTGTGGGAATGGGACTGGGGATGGGAATGAGGATGGGAATGGTGTGTAGGTGTGGGGATGGGGATTGGGATGCAGATGGGGATGGGACTGGGGTGTAGGGATGGCAATGGGATGGGAGGAGGAGGCTGGGGATGGGATGGGGAATGGGACTGGGGGTGGGGATGAGGATGGGGCTGCAGCTGGGGATGGGGTGTGGGGATGGAAATGGGGATTGGGATGAAGATGGGAATGGGATTGGGGGGGATGAGGTGGGGGAATGGGACTAGGGGTGAGGATGAGAATGGGGATGGAGGGTTGGAATGGGATGGGGGTGGGGATGAGAATCGGGACTGGGATGCAGATGGGAATGGGAATGGGGTGTGGGGATGGGGATAGGGTGTGGGAGTGGGACTGGGGATGAGGATGGGAATGGGGATGGGGTGTGGGATGGGTCTCTGGATGGGAATGAGGGTGGAGTGTGGGTATGGGCTGTAGGGATGGGGCTGGGGTATGGAGATGGGGAGGGGGCTGGGGTGTGGGGCCTGAGGGTGGGAGTGCTCATCCAGTGGGAGCCATGCCAGAGCACCAGCAGCAGCCAAGGAAGGGGGGAAACGGTGGGATTTTCCCAGTGATACATTCACAGAGCTCAGACACTGCAGCCAGATCACCTTCTGGGAGCTCTTGGGTGAAACAAAACCAAGCTCTGTAGCTCAGCTCTTGTGCTGGTGCTTCACGATGGACTCTGTACATCACAAGTGACAGATGGACTTTTCTTTTTAATTAGGACCTGCTGCACAGGATGAGCTGGGATACAAAGCAGATTTGCCATCTTCCTTCCTCCTGGGGGTGCCAGGTATGGAAACAAGTCAGGAGGCTCCACATCTGGCATCGACACCTGAGCCTCGAGGTTGTTTATGCTCATGGGGTTGTTCAGCCTGGAGGAGAGAAGGCTCAGGAGAGACCTCACTGCAGCCTTTCAGTGCTTAAAAGGGGTTATAAAAATCATAGAATCATAGAATCATAGAATAGATTGGGTTGGAAAAGACCTCCAAGATCATCAAGTCCAACCCCTGATCCAACTCTAATTACTATATCATGGCACTAAGGGCCATGTCCAATCTCTTTTTAAAAACTTCCAGGGATGGTGAATCCACCACCTCTCTGGGCAGGCCATTCCAATGCCTGATCACCCTCTCTGTAAAGAATTTCTTCCTAAATGTGGCAGAGCAGCTTTTTACGTGGTCAGATAGAGATAGGACAAGGGGGAATGGTTTGAAATCAGAAGAGGAGAGATTTAGATTAGATTTTGGAAGGGAATTGTTGGGTGGGAGGGTGGGGAGGCTCTGGCACAGGTTGCCCAGAGAAGCTGTGGCTGCCCCTGGATCCTTGGAAGTGTCCAAGGGCAAGTTTGACAGAGTTTGGAGCAACCTGGGATGGTGGAAGGTGTCCCTGCCCATGGCAGAGGGTGGGACTGGATGATCTTTAATGATCTTTTCCAACCCAAATCACTCTGATACAGTTCTGTGATTCCCACTCTCCCAGGACATTCATCTGAAAAACAGCAGAATAAAAATAATAACCAATAAATCATTATTGAAGATGGGAGCTCTGAGTTCCAAAAGTCTTGACACAGAGACATTATCTGCTGTTATACAGCTTCCACTGCTCAGGAAAACATCACACTGCTGCAAGTCTGTGTCCTTTCATAACCTGATTCCATCGCTCCTGAGGGTTTCTTTGGATTCTTCCCGTTGGGGAAAAGGATGTTTTTGGGATGCTGGGGAACAGCAATAGATGAGCTCGATTGCAAAGTCTTCTTGCAGCCATGCAGGAGGTGTTTTGGTGTATTTTGATCTCGCTCACCCTGCCTTTGAAGGGAACAGCTCCCTCTTTGCTGTCACCACCTGAAGTGGCTTGGTAGGTTTTTCCCTCTGGTTTTTGGACCTTTCTTAGGAAGCTGGTGAAGTTCACAATACAGTGGGTAGGACAAACTACAGAGCAGTTGCTGCATCTGTACTCCCATTTGTGTTATAGAATCAAAGAATGGTTGGGGTTGGAAGGGACATTAAAGCTCATCCAGTTCCAACCCCATGGGCAGGGACACCTTCCACTATCCCAGGTCGCTCCAAGCCCTGTCCAGCCTGGCCTTGGACACTTCCCTGTTGAAGGCTGAATCCAAACAATTATAAGGAACAAATATTTCCATCTACATCAGCTGTGATCTGCCCAGTGGTGCAGGAGAGACACAAAAGGCTGATTTTTCTTTTGCCACGGCTCCAGCTGTGAGAAATGTGAACAATGAAGCCCAGAGCAACACTGAACTTCCAAGGAAAACAAGGTTATGTGCAGACAGGCTTGAGCCAGATAAGCTGAGATGATCTGGATCCCATATGAGAAGCTCTGCAGGGAATTTGAAGCCATTCTTGGCTTCCATTTTGAAGTAGAAAATCCTTATGTCAGAGTAAAACTGTAGACTAAAGAGTGGACTGAGTATCTGGGGCAAAGAAAATAATCATAATAACTGCAAATTCACTCCTTGTGGGGGTAAGAAAGAGGCAGGGTGCTCACCCACTCAGGAAAACGTGATTTTTTTGCCTGACCTCCTGTTTGAACCATCATGCCAACCACGAAACAAAGGACTGCTTTATCAGATTGCTTGCCATCAGGATTTCCTGAGGACTGGATGATCCCAGGCATGACTAGGAAAGACCAGAGCATGGCAAATACTGAGACTTGCCCTAAAGGGTGTAAATGAAACTAGAAGAAAACACACTGACATGGAAAACCCCTTGACAGCTCTCTGGGTGAATACGAGTTGGCATCTGATGGTTGTGTTAAAATAGACATAATAAGCTTGGTGGAGCTCAGATGTCTTCCCCAATACTTCCTGAGCAAGCAGGAGGGCTGGACACAAACCCTGGGCTTTAAAAGGCCACAGTGTGATTCCCAGGTAAATAATTGTGAATTACCCAGCTGACATCACATAGATCTGCTTAAAAGGAAAGGTACACCCAGGTCTGAAAGAGGAGGCTCTGACAGCCTGTGTGCATTTCACAAGCTCTTATTTATGGTACGGGGGTGCACCTTGTGCGTGTCTGAATAGTGGAGTTAAACCACTGCTGTGTGTCTGAGGGCAGGGTTAGAGTAGAGATTAGGAAGAAATTCTTCCCTACAGCTTCTCACCTCCAACTCTTGTAACTGTGGTAAGAGCTACTTCGACTCCTGGAGCGATCCCTGCTGTGCCACCCTCTGCTCCTGCTTCTCGAGTAGCTTCTTGACCTGCAGTGAGCAATAGGACAGAACAGAACTGAAGAGGAAGCAAAAAAAAAAAAGTTAGAAATCTTTATCTTTTAAGCTAAATATTTATTCCATGCTTGCCATTAAGTTGCTCACGGGGCTGGAGCACCTCTGAGAGCTGGGGGTGTTGAGCCAGGGGAAGAGAAGGTTCCAAGGACACCTTAGAGCCCCTTCCAGAGTCTAAAGGGGCTCCAGGAGAGCTGGAGAGGGACTGGGGACAAGGGATGGAGGGACAGGACAAGGGGGAATGGCTTCCCATTTCCAGAGGGCAGGGATGGGATATTGGGAAGGAATTCCTGGCTGGGAGGGTGGGGAGGCCCTGGCACAGGTTGCCCAGAGAAGCTGTGGCTGCCCCTGGATCCCTGGAAGTGCCCAAGGCCAGGTTGGACAGGGCTTGGAGCAACCTGGGATGAGTGGAAGGTGTCCCTGCCCATGGCAGGGGGTGGGACAAGATGGTTTTCAAGGTTCCTTCCAAAACCATTGTTGGATTCTATGATCTTAGATATGCAAACAGCAAGTCCAAAGCCTCAGCAAAACGGGGAAACAATGTAAGATTAAAACCTTCTCGGCACGCTCAAATTAATACCTGTCCAGGAATCACAGCCTCAGTGAAAAGATGTTGGAGGAGATATCAGTCATTTTCTGAGTGGAGATTTGATCTTACCCCAGGCAGGTTGTAGGCAGGTGGGGCTTGGTCTCTTCTCCAGATAACAAGTGACAGGACCAGGGGAAATGACCTCAAATTGCACCAGGGGAGGTTTAGGTTGGATATTGGGAAAAATTTCCTCACCAAAAGTGTGGTCAGGCATCAGAACAGGCTGCCCAGGGGAGTAATGGAGTCTCCATCCCTGGGAGTGTTCCAAAGGCTGTGGATGTGGCACCTGGGGACATGGATTAGTGGGGGGAACAACGGCGGTGCTGGGTGAATGGTTGGACTCGATGATCTCAGAGGTCTTTTTTCCAACCTAAATGATTCCATGATTTTTTAGTGGATCATGGCAGTCCTCTGACAGTGGCTGGCAAGGCCAGGGAGCTCAAGGCCCTGGTCTGTAGCCAGTGTAGCAGCCACATTTCTCTTAGCAGGGTAATGGGCTGTCACGGGTCACGTCTCCAAACATTTTGTGTCACCACCACATCAGTGGAAGCCCCTGGCTGAGCTCAGCATTCCCACAGGAATGCTGGTCTCTGAATCACATCACTTCATTACCTCCCAAAACACCCATGATGGAGGAACACAGGAAGAAAAGCCTTAAATTTTCATTTCCTGGGAAATTGGGAAGTAGGTTTGTTAACCCCCAGAACAGCTTGTTTAATGTTGTAACAGGAGGTAAATCCTTCTATTTGCTCTGCATTATTACAGAAGAACATGTCATGATTTGTAATCTAAAGCCTCAATTTTGTGAGCATTTGATGAACACATGGGAGGTTTATTTGCCTGGCTGCTCTCCCTGAATTGAATACATCCCATTACACAGGTCTGAGAAGTGCAACACTGGCTTCTTTCAATGTTCTCAGGATATCAGGTTTGTTTTAATATGAGAAGAGTCATTAAATAATTATTCAGCTTTGTCATATTCATGTTAATGGTTTCTTTTAATGAATAAATCCTATCAGAAGGGCAAAGGGCAGGGATACTGATTCAGTATCCCTGAGGCACAAATAGTCCACTGCCCTGTTTCCAAAAGTGTCCATAAGCAGATGTCAAAGTGATACTCCCCCTAAACAACTTGAGCTTCCAACTACTTTCATCTCAAAGGATTTCATGACCCTGATGTGTTGTGCTTTTTTCCTGCTTGGTAATCCTCAAAAGATCTCTCTAAAATGCTGTCTGAATTTCCCTTTTAACCCAGGTTAAGTTTTTTCTACACCCCCAACCTGTGGCAGGGAGTTCCACAGCTCAGCTGTGCACAGCGTGAAAACCATCTCTTCTTCCTCTCTATTAATATGGAAATATGCAAATACACACTGGCCTCCTGGCATATGTTCCTTGGTTGGGTTTGTTGGGTTTTTTTTTTAAGTTCTGATTTTACCTCGAGTTCTCGTGTGTCTTTCCCACGATTTACATTCGGATTAATTTCCGCTGCTCCTACTGCTGGACTGCTGTACCCTGAGCAAACCTCTGGGCTCCCTCTCTTCTTCCACTCCCCGGCTCACATTCCAAGGACAAAGCAAGCAGAGGGATCCTCCAGGCAGCTCTTCCCGGCAGCTTTTCTCTTTCTGCCCAGGTTTCACGGGAGGTCAGGGTGGCACAGGTGGCGTGAGGTGTCCCCACGCCTCGCTGTTCGCCCCTGTCCCGCTCCGACACGGTGGTTTGGGTGGGGAGAGCTGGCAGACAGGTCAGAGAGGGGATGCACCCACTCCTCTCCCTGATCCCTGTCAGCTCCGTGCTCAGTTCACAGCAGAGCCCCAGGGCAGGTGGTGCAACCAAAGGAGGGGGCAGGAGCAGGTGAGAGTGTTTCAGTCAGGGCTGCTTTGAGGAGGTTTCACGTTACCTCCACCCCGCAGTCAAGCGGCAGCCCGGAATATTTTTATCAGCGGGGAGCCCCGAGCACTTTGACTTTTAAAAAAGCCTGACCAGCATAAGCAAGAAGGCAGATGTGCTTTTGGATAAATGCAGCCCCATCGCTGGGGTTTCGTTCTGCTCTCCACTTGCAGTCCGTGTGAAACAGGGACTGAAGGACACGATGCCTCTGGAAAGGGAATTAATAATCAATTAGACATTTATGCCGGCAAAGAATCCCACTATTTTAATACTGACACGAAGGGAATGGGAATAAGCTTTGACTTTTATTATATTACTCTGAGCTCCATCTTCCTCCTTCCCTCTGCCAGGAAGGACTGCAGGGCAGGGCAGGGCCAGACCTGCACCCCAGCTCAGGCAAGAGTTTGTGTTGAAACACAGCTCCTCAAGTTGAGGGTTGGAGGGTTCATGGGCAAAACCACCGAGCAGGAATTCTCAGGTTTCCATGGCACATCCAAGGTTGCAGCTGCCCTACGTCAGGGCTGACCCTGAGCACCGGCAGGAGGGGCAGGGAGGAGGTTGCAGAACCTGTTGGTGCACTCAGGGCTGTGACAGTCACCTCCTCTCCCATCACTGTTTGTCCCCACACCGCACAAAGGTCCTGCTTTGGAGAGGCAGGTGGTGTGAAATGCCTGGTGTGCAGACAACAGTGCTCACAGGCCAGGACTCACCTCGAGGTGTTCCAGGGCCACCAGCTCAGGGTGCAGCGCTGTGTGGATGCTCCCAACAGGCTCTGCCTTTGCTGGCATCAAAGCAGGGAGGCATCCATGAGGGCAGTGATGTGGCAATGTTTGTCTCCTGCACAGACCCTTCAAAGAGACACGAAGATGCTCCGAGGGCTGGAAACCCTCTGAGACAGGCTGGGAGAGCTGGGGGTGTTCCCCTGGGGAAGAGAAGGGTCCAGGGAACCTTCACGGCAGCCTTTATGTCATAGAATCACAGAATGGTTTGGATTGGAAGGGACCTTAAAGCCCATCCAGTTCCACCCCCTGCCATGGGCAGGGACACCTTCCACCATCCCAGGTTGCTCCAAGCCCTGTCCAACCTGGCCTTGGACACTTCCAGGGATGGGGCAGCCACAGCTTCTCTGGGCAACCTATGCCAGGGCCTCCCCACCCTCACAGGGAAGGATTTCTTCCTAATATCTCATCTAACTCTGCCTCACCCCAACCCTAATCCAAACCCAAGTGTGTCTCCCCACAGCAGGTCCTCCCACACTCACAGCACAGCAGAAGGACCCAAGGCTATGACTGAACTGTTATCAGAGCTCCCTCCAGCCCAGGCAGACACAACCCCTTCTTGAGGAGGCAGGGAGGAGTTTGTAGAGCTCAGTGGCACATGCAAAACCCCAGTGAAAGCCTCCTCTCACTCTGAACATCTTCCTGTCATGCTGTATTAACGTTTAAGACCCAGACACGGGCCAGGAGCTTCCCAAGCTGATCAGGACTTGGTGGAGTCCGTGAGGGAGCTGTTTGCAGGTTTGTTCTCAACACAGAGCCTCCCTCTCTCTGTTCTGGCTCCCCCTGTAAATCACAGCATCTTCAGGCTTTAAAAGTTGTCATTTGCTTGATACTGGAGAGCTTTGTTATTTCTTGGGAACAGGTCATTCAGCTCTGGATAAATGTTATGACAGCTCTCCCTCCAAAGAGATATAATTACTCCTCCTCCTCCTCAGGTAGTGCTGTGGCATCTGAAAAGCATTGGCAAGATGTAGTTTAAATGCTCAGGCATTTTTTTTAGCCCAGAAATAGGCTGATCAATTATACCCACACCTGTAAATAAAGAAGGGCAGGGTTCATCCTCTGGCCTGAGATCAGGGCTGCTGTTGATGTGGCTGAACCCTGCTCCTGTTCTTCCCCCAGGACAGGGTGGATTCCTCCTTCTGCTGCCCAGCAAGAGCTGCTGGCCCACGACCTTCTCAGCCCACGCCTGGGTCAGTCAGCAGATCCCAACACCACCCCAAAGCAATGCCAACAGCTGAGCAGTACAGACAGCCACGAAGCGTTCCCACCACTGCCTGACCATCCTCACTGCTTTAGGTACATCCCTCTAGTCCTTTGGGTAGGTACACACAGAATTCTTTGAAGAATTTGATCCTAAAAACTGTTTAATTTTCTCCTCTGATTCCCAGCTCAGAGAGGTGGAGTTTTAATTTGGCTGCCATCCCCAGGCTACTGACTTTTAGTTCCCCCTCAAATGACGAGTGATCAGACTCTATGGAGAAATAATGGGGAAAATCTGATCCCAAATGAGGTCAGATTGGATAATTTCCTCATCCTTTTTAGCTCTCTGTATCTGAGGATTTGGGTGCTGGTTCTTCTGCCTTTCTCAGGGGTTTTTTTGCCTGACTGATGTCACCGAGGGGTCTGGCTGAGCTGGAGGTCCAACCCCAGTGCCAGCACTTAGGAATTCATCCCTTCCAAGAGGGAGGAGTGACCTTGGTTTGCAGTGTCTCCCTGTCCCCTGTGGCACTGTCAGACACCAAATGAAGAGCCTGTGTGCTTGATGAGTGCTCTGCTTTCTCTGAGCCAGGAAGAATATTTCAGTTTCCCAGCAGGAGGTGCCTTTGTTAACCCTTCCCCACCTGCTCTCAGGGTATTTTTCTCATCCCCGGTCTCCAAGAAGGTTCAGACTGGGGGGTTATATTTGCCTAATTAGCAGAAGGCAAATGTGCAGTTTTATAATGTTCAAAGAAGAATTTTTGCCCCCCCTGAGGATTTTTAGGATTAGCTCTTTAGAGAAACAACATCATCCACCACACAAACACACCCTGCTGCTGTAGCACTGTCATGCTGAACACACAGGAATGAATGGAGGGCTGCAAATTTTGCAAAAGCTTATCAAAAGTTACAACTAGAGGGGGAGCTGAGGCCTGGCAGAATCAGAGCCAACAGCCCCTCTCATGTGCTCAGCCCACCTCTGCAGGGATCCAACCTTGGAGAAGCCTCAGGGAATCCTTTGGGTTGGAAAAGAGCTCTAAGATCATCAGCTGTCAACCCAGTTCACCACTAAACCACGTCCTCAAGTGCCACATCTGACCATCCTTTGGGAAGTGTTTTTACCACAACGTGTACAATATGAGGATTAAAGTTTTGAAATTTTGGGATAATGAGAAAATGCCAGCTGGCTTTCCAAGACAAAGGTAATTTGTAGATATTACAATAGGAGAGTATCCCTAAATACCTTGAATCCTTAAAGCATTTTAACAAAGCACCACAACCTTCTTTGCTTTAAAAAGCCCATAGATTTTAATTCAATTTAATTTAATTTAATTAGGATCATTTGGGGTTGGCCTCGGGAGATGAGCATCTGGAGGTGATGGTGCCACAGATGTTCCCTGGCAGTGATGCAGCAGGAGAAGGTGAGTCATCTGCTACCCAGTTGATTCCTTTGCTGACGGGGAAGAGGAGCAGCTTTGCCTCAGATCTACAGAGTGACTTGTCTTAATAAAGTCATGCAAAAGAACACGGCAAAAATTGGCCCTGGACAATCCCACAATCACAGGATGGGTTGGGTTGGGAAGGACCTTGAAGATCATCTTATTCCAACCCCTCTGCCACGGGAAGGGACGCCCTCCACTAGCCCAGGTTACTCCAACCTGGCCTTGGACACTTGCAGGGCTGGGGCAGCCACAGCTTCTCTGGGCAACCTGTGCCAGGGCCTGCCCACCCTCACAGAAACTTTCCCATCTTGCTTCCACATCCACCTCTGTGCAGTCTGACCCCTGAGAGGTGCCCACACATCCCTGGAGTCCTGCAGAACAAACAGTGGCCAAACAGGAGGATATTTGGTGGGTGTCCAGCACGGAAGGATGCAGGAAATGACGGCGTATTTGCATTTATACAAATCCCAGCAGTCAGGGAGGAAGGCTCAGGCTTAGAAGTGGTTTCAATTTTGTTTTCTCACTTTCCCTCCCGAGAGCCCACACATTTCATTGCCCTCAGCAAATGGTGCCTCTGCTCATGGGTATTGTTTCTGCCAGAAACCTCCCTTCTAGGACAGGGCTCATCCAACCGTGGCAACTCCAGCACTCCCCTTACACCTACTCCAA